GTTTGTATTACCTAAATGATTTCTACTCATTTACACTTGTTGAAAATTAAAGCATACAGTTAATTAAACAAAAATAAAAAATAAATTATTTCTAATTTTATTACTTCAAAGATAACAATTGGTATTTTCTAAATTTTTCTTCTCTGTGAGAAATTGCTAATTCTAATGAGTAATCCATAAATAGATTTCAAATTTGAGGTGCTAATGAACAAGTTTTAGTCATGCTCCCTCATGAAAGCTAAGCTTCTGTCATGTCTTCTGCTTGATTCTAGGCCTTTGTCTTCCTACCAACGGAGAGGCCTATGTTAATGGATATGACATCTCAAAGCAGATGGTCCAGATCAGGAAAAGCTTGGGCTTGTGTCCCCAGCAGGATTTATTGTTTAATTACTTGACAGTATCAGAACACCTTTATTTCTATTCCGTGGTGAGCCAAAGATACGTTTATTTTTCCCACTCTATTCATGTCCTTAAGGTAGATAACTATCAATATCCTTATTCTTAGAAAGTTTAAAGATTGATTTTTGATAAATTCTCCTTTAAACATAAATACAGGCAAAGGGAAGAAGACCCTGTATAAATGATGTAAGAAAACAGCTGGTGTAAAATGTTTCTAAGGATAAAGTTGGAAGCAACATGTGAATTCTGGCTCCTCTTTCCAGATAAAAGGAATCCCTCGAAAGATGCGTCTTACAGAGACAAACAAGATGCTCTCTACTTTTAACTTGCTAAAAAAGCGTAATGCATTTTCAATGTCACTGAGTGGAGGAATGAAGCGCAGACTCTCCATCATTATAGCCCTTATAGGGGACTCAAAGGTAAAAAAAAAAAGAAAGAAAAAGAAAAAAGCACTGATCTCCACTAAAGGTTGCTTAAAAAGTCAGCTGACACAAATCTGAGAGCTGATAAAGGTCTAACACTCTAAAACGAACCTTCCAGATGAAATCCCAGATGGGATTGACACTACCAACCTAGTTGGTATAAAATGGTCACAGATTTGGAATTACTCCACCATTCTTAATTCAGTTTTAGTCTGAACTTCTTATTGTAGGTTAAATTGGACACGTGATTGAAAAAGCAAAATCCTGTGACTGATAAGACCTGAATGGCACTAGTACATAAAATTTAATGTTGTTCATGGAATTGTTCTTTTGGACTTTAGGTGGTGATACTTGACGAACCAACATCTGGCATGGACCCAGCCTCAAGGAGGGCCACCTGGGATCTCCTTCAGCATTACAAGCAGGGTCGTACCATCTTCCTGACCACCCACTACATGGATGAAGCTGACGTCCTGGGTGACCGAATTGCCATCATGGTTGAGGGATCCCTGCGGTGCTGCGGCTCTTCAGTCTTCCTAAAAAAAATATATGGTGTCTCTCCCTTTGACCATTCTTTGTATATTGATGTCCTAACATTCTTCTAACATGATTATCATAGATATTGATGTCTTGTTAGTATTGTTCTAACATAATTTGAACTTTTTTAAACTATCTACCCGAAACTTCAATGATTTCCTCTGTCCTATAAGTTGAGGCTTAACTATGAGCCCTTTGAAATAATGATCTTATTTTAGTTCTTCAAAAGTATTTCCCACTACATTTTATTGTATTATCCAAATTTTGTGTTCATTTCTTCCATTTAGCTTCTACTTAAATTGTAATTTGTTCGACTGCAGTTGTGCCTTCAATGAAATTGATAGAAATGTGGATAGATGAGAGATAGATAGATGATTGATAGGTAGATAGCAGATGGGTGATGAATAGACAAATAGAAAAATTAATGGATTATTGGGAAAATGTAGAGAAGCAGATAATCTCCAGGGCCCTCAAGGACTTGGTAAAAAAATTTCAGTTCTGATAACTCAGGCAAGGCCAAAAGAACTGAGAGAAATATCTCTGAGGGTACATTAGTCCTTCACTGCAATGGTGCTTCAAGAGCGCAGGAGAGGGCTGCAGGGTGGAAATAAATCGTCAAAGGTGAAGGAAACAGTGCAGAGATGAAGAGCAAAGAGGATTTGTCAGAGCCAAAAAACTAGAAACTCTACTGTAGCTTAAAGAGGTCTCTATGAGCTCATCCATGCACAGATCCCCTGTCTTCTGGAAGGTGCACTAGTGAAGGTATGGAGTACTCTGGAAAGATTTCTCAGGTCTCTGAAGAAAAGAATTTTTATCTGATTTATAATAAATACCTGTTTAATGTATATTAACCTTGTCTTCTCATATTTCAGTGTCAATAGGACAAGAGGCCAGATAATAGAGGCTTTTCATTCTATTTCTGTTCTATTGGTCCCTAAGAAAATTAATGAAATTATAGAAAAAGTGTTATTAAGCTCCTTAGGCTTATAATCAAATAATTTGTGACATGCTCAGTCTTCTTCTAGCTCACTCAAACCATGGAACACCAAGTGCAGTCTCACAAGAATATAGGAAGTACCAATTGTCTTATTTGTTCTTCTCAGGTGTGGGATACCATATAATCATGGTGAAGGAACCTCACTGTGATATCGAAGAAATCTCCAAATTGATTTATTATCATATACCAACAGCCACGTTGGAGAAGAATGTTAGAAATGAATTATCTTTTATTCTACCTAAAGAGTATACACACAGGTATGGATTCAGAGAGTGCTAAATGATTGATGTTTAGATAAGCAGGAATTATCATTGCTTTTCTGAGTTTCTTCAAGCTTTGCAAGCAAATTAACAAGACAAATCCAATCACTTGCATTTTAGAGAGGAATGCCACCTAGTGCCTATGGCTGCCTGTTTTTAATTGGTGGTAACTGATGATATGTTGTTGATAGAGTAAAACTTGCATGGTGAGTGGAGTAAATAGAAATATTAAGACAATGAGAGAGAAAACAAAATGTCTTTAGTGGTGGCTTTTGAAGCGAGAGGGGCAAGAATCCAGAGGAAATAGGCAGCTTGATAGTCAAGTTATTCATCAAAGGGAGTCACAAAAATTATAACGCCACCTGAAATAAGCATCCTAAAAAATATGGAAACCAAGATTACTCATCAGTGACTTTTAAAGTATGATATTTTAATCTTCTTGTATATGTAATATATACACATGTTACTAGTTATTAAATATGCATATGTCCAAAATATGTAATATATAATACTTCTTATAATAATATGTAATACTTGCTTTGATATTCCCTAGAGTAGAGTCAGTTGTCGTAATCAAGAAGAATATGAGGGGCTTTAACTTCTCCTTTTTTAGTAAAAAGAAGAATGTATCAAAAAGGAGGGGGCGGAAAAAGAAGCTGCATTATTTGAACTTTGTTTATTTCATGAATCCTAAAGTTCTTGGGAATCAGCAGCATGGAACAGTGTGATCAGTTGGCAGAATAGGACCAGGACGCTACATAAGCCGAAATGAAAGAATAAAATAGCATGGAGGATTTAGAAGTTAAAATTCTAACATGCATTGTCAGAGATGAATGGTAGTTGACTCATTCAGAAAAGGTGGGAATCAGGTGGTGGCTTTGTCCCCATTGTGATAATCAAGATCCATGTAAAACTGAAGAATCTATCTGAGGGAGACGTAAAGATAAAACACTTGCTGAAACTTATCACACTACCTGCTCATCCTCATTCACATGGACACAAATAACATTCTCAAAAGAATGTCTTTAAAACAGGAAATAAAAGTATTCAGAAGCCGATGTTTTATCATGTTTATTATATAATATCTTCTTCATGTTTACATTTATAATAATTTAATAGTTTATTATTTTCTTATATTTAGAAATAGATAATGTTTTTCATATCTATTTACTGGTCATTTGGACTTGGAAGACAGAGTATGTTAGAAGATCCAAGAAGTGAACTAATCGTAGATTGCTAGGTTCAGAATAATAGAGTCACTACAAAATAAAATGAAAATCAAGAAATTAGGGCAGAACGTGTTTTCTGTAATGGACAGTTTTAAACTAAGTAGTAGGAAGAATAAATTATAAGAAAAAGAAATGCCTGTGGATCCAGTTATTTCAGTGTATAATATGAAAAGAATGTAATGATGGTTAAATTCTTAGTGATTCCCATTCCAGCTAAAATTTCGATAGTTAATAGTAATTGAGTGCTTACTTTTTGCCAGACATTGGTCTAAGCTGTACTTATTTACCTGAATAAATAATAAAGAAGAAAAAAAGAAATAAATTTTAATTGCATATACCTCTATTCTTATTCATTGAATGTATCTCACAAGAAAAGTAATTCTGAAATTTTAAATCAGTATTGTAACTTGTAAAACAATGCTGAGACTTATTAGAATGAAACTTAGGTTTAGAATATGGCAGTGGAATAATGTGCAGTATTCCAAAGTAATGGACATGTAAAAGAGGTATCAGAATAGTGTGCTTATCAGGGAATATTGATATGCTTAAAGCTAATTAGAGGATGTAAGTATGCACGAAAACCACTGGACAGCAACAGAAGTTGAAAGAAGCAAATTAAATGATTAACAAATCATTTTGTGAAGCTCCTGCAAGTAAAAAGGAGAAAATGTGTTAATATGTTCCTGATACAAGGTTTAAGCAAAATAACATAGTAAAGGGTAATTCAATTATAGACTTGTACCACGTTTTATTTGCCTCAAAGTAGGTCTCCTGAAGCACCCCTGACTTTCCTTGGCAACAATTACACCTTCTCCTCTTCTTCTTCTCCTTCTTCTTTTCTTCTTATTCTTATCTTATTCTAGGTTTGGAGTTCTGTTTACTGATTTGGAAAAGAGACAGAAAGAGCTGGGCATAGCTAGCTTCGATGCCTCTATCACTAGCATGGAAGAAGTCTTCCTTCGGTGAGCAGCAAGGCCCAGATAAAATGAAAACCTTGTGGGAAAAGTACCACATCTTGGTCACCTTTGTAAATCCACCACACTTTCAGATTTATGTTAGAAAATTAAGAGGAATGAGGGGATGAAACTGACAGGTGTTTTTTTTTTAAACAATAAGAACAGTGAAAAAATATTATCATTATTGGTTTTTAAAAGAATGATTATTTAACTTGCCCATTAGTTGCTAATGTTTAAACTGAATGAGTTCAGCTTAATGAAACACTCATTACATTGCCCTCATTTTCCTAACTTTACTATGGTCTAGCAGCAGTCTTGTGACTGGTGTTTGGGAAGCACTGCTCTACGATAGTTACCAGGATGCCTCCATGTAATACTCCTACCAGTCAGTAAGCAAACCAAGGAGTCTTCTGAGTTGGGTGTTGTGACTCACATTCTCCAAACAAGATACGTTGAGACAGAGTTGAAATGAAATGCTTTGCTTTTTTTTTTTTTTGGATGTAGGGTCAGTAATATGGAAGATTCAGAGACAGATATTCAAGCTACCCAACCTCATCCTCCCTCCCCAATGAATCAAGTCTCAGTCAAGAACCAGAATAGGAATATGTCCAGAAATGAGACAGCAGATTCCTCCACGATGAATGAAAGCCCTGCTGTTACGTTTAACACGGGGGTAAGCACCTTTGCTAAGACACCTAATGTATCTGTGCTTGGGGTGCAAGAGGCACATTTTGTTTTGACACTTGAACGACAGAAGTGTGGAGTTTTCAGCCATTGCAGACCCAACCAGACTCAAGCAGTCTGTACCATAACCTCATTAACTTCCTAATGCAGAAGTGATAACGTTCTACATAAAGATCTCAGCTGTCATTCTCACCATTGCTATTCCTCAGTTTCATTCTGTTTTAATTTTTTTTCGCATTTATAATCCAGAAATCTGTTAGTTCATTGAATCTGGAGTGAGCATCTGTTTTAATAATTAAGCATGCACAATATTTTAAGTTTTTGTGATGGGAACTGACATTGCATGAAAAATCATTCCTAATCAGTATGATCCTAAGCATAGGAAGTCTCCCCAAGAAGCCTATCATTTATTTCATTCTCTTAATTGTCTATTCCTCCTATAAAGCACCCTGGTTTTCTTGGCAGTCGGGAGCCTAAGGAAAATCGTCTTGTTGAGATTTTTAAGTATTTATATCAAAAGTCAGATCTTAAACATTTTATTTAATACCTTATAGCAAAGGTCAGCAAATGATATATAAAAGGATAATAAATATGTAAGGCTTCGTGGGCCATATGGTTGCATAATCACTCAACCCTGTCATTGTAGCACGAAAGCAACCATAGACAATACAGAAATGCATGGGTATAGCTGTGTTCTAATAAAACTTTGTTTAAAAAAACAGTCCAGTTTGTTGACTTCTGCCTTATACAAGCAAAAGACTGATAATACTATCATGTGTTACGCTTAGATTCTATTCCAAGTATTATCTGTATAAACTTTATGTAGCTTGTACCATAAAATTCCAAAGTGTTCATCTTAATGAATTTCAACATGAATGACTTTTTTAGGTCTATGAATACTGTAATGTTATGTTTCTCTCTTCTTTCTTTAGTATCCCCTCTACCACCAGCAGTTCCGTGCCATGTTCATGAAGAGAGTGATGTTCAGTTGGCGCAACTGGAATCTAATTTTGCTACAGATACTGGCACTTCTAGGTTCCCTTATCTTTCTTCTCTCAGAGGTTGATATTTTTTCACGTAATAATGACGAGAAGGCCAGACAAATGGACTTGGGCCAATATGGTCAAACTATTGTGCCTATATCTATTTCTGGGAATTCCAATTTGACTCTGATTTTCTTGCAACATCTTAAGAGTATGCTAGAGTCTGAAAAACAAACACTCAGGGAAGTACAAGGTAAGGCTCATTAATAAAAAGAGACTGCTCTTAGATGAAGATCTCATTGTGTGACTTGCAAAGAAAGATCTTAACTGTATATTTGGCCACCTGTTAATCAACAATTTCACAGATTAAGCTATATTAGAGTCCAGAAATGCCCTCTTTAAGGCATAGTTAGTCTCAAAAGGTTAATTTTAATAGAAGCACTTTGGCTATGAGTTGTCTACAAGGCATTTGTTGTTCCTTCAAGTAAAAAAAAAAAAGTGTGCCGAAACACATGTTACTGTGAAGTTAAGCATGAGTTGTTTTTTAAAGTCTGGCCAGAATGCAATGTATCACATGAATCCAGACCTTACAGCATGGAATGGTGGTCCCAAGTCCCGAAAACTATTCCTCAGTCTCCTAAACCTATCACATCAAAAACAGGGATACTGGAGACTTAATGGGCTAGCTCCTCAGAATATATTTATTTTTAAGATAGTAGTAGTAATGATTTACATTTACCAAGCACTTGTTTTGGCAAAAACCCTGTTAAAACACTTTACCTGCCTGTCAGTTAATCAGAGTAATCACCCTTATTTAGTAGATGTTTTTATTACCATCAATTAGATGAGAAGCACAGAAATTTAAGAAAGTCTGGTAGTTTGCCCCAAATCAGACATCTAGTTCTGCCTGACATGTACACACTTAACCACTCACTGCTCTGCATTACCGCTCTGAACATAAAGTGTCTTCTCTTTCATGTAATAATTTCCTCCCAGATACTTTTTTTAACTGCCACCTGATGGATCCTGTTCCTTTGGGTCAGCAAGCAGCCTGTAGGATTGCAAAGCCTGTGTGGTATTTTTTTCTCTCCTTGAGGCTTTACTGTGAAGCATGATAATACACTGAGAAATGCTGCTTTTTCTTTATAAACATAATCCTGATTCTACAACTTACAATAATAGATTAGCTGACTATAATTAATTGTCTCTATTCCTCCT